TTTGATCAGAATTGATTTTAATGCACATAGCTTTTTATCTCTTTGATGTGTGTATGTTAAGTAGATGAGGCTCCTATACTCAGGTTGTTTACAAAACCAACGCAGTGATGTTTACCAATACACAGTGACTTAGTCCTGGGTACCACTGTCATTCACCAGTATTCCAGGCTATTTTATCATGCAACAGGTGCTGAAAGTCTATTGAAGTTATAGTGAACAATTCATGAAACATTGCATGTATTCAAGATATATTACTGTGACATGGATACTTGTAAAGATACATGTTACAAGTTACTTTCCTTTGAAGAGTTCCACATTTAGAAAAGTGTATGCTATTCTTAATTTTGTGGCCTTGTTTTATAACCGAGTCAAAATCATAAATTTGAAAAATGGAGAACAATGAATGTTTGGATAAGATTCAGGTTGTTACAAAATATTAGTTATAATAGTTTAAATATCAAAGGAGCAACAGAGGAGGTATACAGTATCATATAGCCTTAATTCTAACATATCCTAACATATATCACTGATATGATGTATAGTCTTAACTCTGAAATAAATGACAGTCAAAAGTCATTATGATATATAACATTAACTCTGAAAGAAATCATGGATAATATATATATATATATATGTATATATATTCAAAAATCATAGATATACTACGCATGGTAACATATATTCTTAACTGTAACACAAGTCACTTGTATGATATGTAAGGTAACAGGTATCCTTAACTGTGAAACATATCACTTGTATTGATGTGTAAGGTAGCATATAGCCTTAACTGAAAACATGTACAAGGTAGCATATAGCCTTAACTGTAGCACAGGTCACTATTGTGATACGTAAGGTAGCATATAACCTAAATTGTAAAACCAAATCACTTGTACTGATGTTTAAGGTAGCATATAGCCTTAACTACTTTTATGATGTGTAATTATATTTCCTTAATTGTAACACAAGTTGCTTGTATGGTGTGTAAGGTAGCATATACCTGGTAACCTTTACTATGATAAAGATTTCTGATATATTGTGTAACTGAAAGTTAGAATATATCATTAAGACTGGGCTGATGTTTGAGGGTTTTAAATTTTGATTTGGTTTATAAAGTGGGGACATATTTTATTGCATTGTTTCTTTATCTTCAGATTATAACTTTTTAAGGGAAACAACTCTTACATATGTCCATGATTAAGAAAGTGATCATTAAAAATTTGAATTATTAAATAATTTCAAATTAAAAGGAATTTGAATGAAAGATTTTTGAAAATTATATCTGTTATTATTTAATGCTAGTAATTTCAACAAATCAATTGTGATATTCATGTTTACATTTGTTCGTTCAGAGTCCTGTTTTGACGCAATTTTTACATCAATAATTATAGAAGGATGTTATGGAATATCTCTCCATCAGTCTCTCTATCCTCAACAATGGAAGAGTAAGGAGATACCCCAACAGTGAATCTGTCTTTTTGTCAAACTTTGTATCTATAGCTATGGAAGGATAAGAGACAATGATGCTGTCACTCCAAAACATATTATCTAATATCTACAAAATAAAGGTACAAAATATCAAAAAAAGCTGGTGCTCATTGTAAAGTAGTACTCATGTATTATGCATAGCTTACGAGGCAGTGTAGATGTCGAGGGCCAGCTCTGGTCACACCAATGTCTGTAAACAAGGGAAAAAAAATCAATAGCCTCACAAAAATGGATGTTTGTTTGTAGCATATCAATGTTTATAGAACAGAACCCATTAATTGTCGCACATAACACTGATACCTAGTCTGGTATCAGGAGGAACACTGAGCCTACTGTAGTAAGCACTGATACCTAGCCTCATACTCAAAAGGCACAAAGGTCTTTATAGTGGTAAACACTAATACTTAAAGTCTCATACTTAGAAGGCACACATGCCTATCAGTAATAAATACCAACATCAAGGATTGGATACTCAGAAGGCATAAAGTACCTACAGTAGTAAACACCAACACTGGTACTTAGTAGTCACACAGTGTCTGTAGTAAACACTAATACTGGTACTTAGTAGTCACTCAGTGTCTGTAGTAAACACCAACACTGGTACTTAGTAGTCACACAGTGTCTGTAGCAAACACCAACACTGGTACTTAGTAGTCACACAGTGTCTGTAGTAAACACCAACACTGGTACTTAGTAGTCACACAGTGTCTGTAGTAAACACCAACACTGGTACTTAGTAGTCACACAGTGTCTGTAGTAAACACCAACACTGGTACTTAGTAGTCACACAGTGTCTGTAGTTAACACCAACACTGGTACTTAGTAGTCACACAGTGCCTGTAGTAAACACCAATACCAACACTGGTACTTAGTAGTCACACAGTGTCTGTAGTAAACACCAACACTGGTACTTAGTAGTCACACAGTGTCTGTAGTAAACACCAACACTGGTACTTAGTAGTCACACAGTGTCTGTAGTAAACACCAACACTGGTACTTAGTAGTCACACAGTGTCTGTAGTAAACACCAACACTGGTACTTAGTAGTCACACAGTGTCTGTAGTAAACACCAACACTGGTACTTAGTAGTCACACAGTGTCTGTAGTAAACACCAACACTGGTACTTAGTAGTCACACAGTGTCTGTAGTAAACACCAACACTGGTACTTAGTAGTCACACAGTGTCTGTAGTAAACACCAACACTGGTACTTAGTAGTCACACAGTGTCTGTAGTAAACACTAACACTGGTACTTAGTAGTCACACAGTGTCTGTAGTAAACACCAACACTGGTACTTAGTAGTCACACAGTGTCTGTAGTAAACACCAACACTGGTACTTAGTAGTCACACAGTGTCTGTAGTAAACACCAACACTGGTACTTAGTAGTCACACAGTGTCTGTAGTAAACACCAACACTGGTACTGTAGTCACACAGTGTCTGTAGTCACACAGTAGTCACACAGTGTCTGTAGTAAACACCAACACTGGTACTTAGTAGTCACACAGTGTCTGTAGTAAACACCAGTACCAACACTGGTACTTAGTAGTCACACAGTGTCTGTAGTTAACACCAATACTGGTATTTGGTAGTCACAGTGGGAAGGAAATTTCGAACTTCATTCAGAAAACTTGAATTATTGTTTTATTTTGCAATGACATGAGATACATGACAATATACCAGGGAGGCATATAGGTGATTATCAATTAATTTTTTTTCTGAGAATCAGTGTCAATCATTAGCAAAATGAACATGCAAATATTCACTATTCACAGTCTGCAGCCTTAGCACTTAACTTCTTTCTCAAAGGTGTCAATACTTGACAGGGCAGGCATAGCTAATGATGTTATATATCAAATCATTATAATTATATAGATTCATATATGCTATGTCGCCATGTATCTACATCTACTGAGGCATCCAAGGAGTCCAACACTGGACCAGATTTCATAACTCAATATCAATGAAACAATGTACAAGGTCTTTCCATTCAAGTTACCATGGCATAACCATATAGACAATTCCATTATAATCGAGAAGTGAAGCAACAAATTACGCACACGACTGATCTCTGCACCCTTGTAACATTTCATGGCAAAATTGAAGGTTCTTTGTGTGACACTTTGTGGATAAGGAGGGACTAATTTAACATCTGATTTACTTTAAGCAAATCTTAAGGTTGCATAATGGTATGTTGAACTGGTGTCACATCTTTGTAATCTTGAGAAGCACATTAATCTTTGATTTTGAATACAATTTTGCCCTGAAGAAGCCTACTGTTTGGGCAAAACAGATTAATGTACAAATAAAGAAAAATCCCCAAGCATTTTGCGATTGATTATCATTCTTAATTGACAATGTATTTGATATGATTTCATGACATTTGCCTTTTTAAATAAATTCTATAAATAACTTTGTGAACCTGTGACATTTAAGTTACCTTCTGTAACATGACGAGTTCAACATCCTTACAACAGCCAGAGTGATTTGTGTACAGGTGTCCTTAACAGGTGTGTAAATAAAAATAAGAGGAAACAAAAATAGAAAGCAAAGAATTATGAATCATTGAGGATGTGGATGAACAAGAAAAAAGCAAATGATATGAAAAGTAAACAATCAAGCATTGACTTTGAAAAAAACGCAAATTAAAAATTAATTAAACAAGAGCAAGAACAATTTAGTCAGTTGGAAAAAGTACAGGTAGTAAAATTATTGTGCTTTTGAAAGATAAATGTCTATACATTAGACTGCCTCAAAAATGCTGCCAGCAGCATAATTCAGTTTCAGCATTGGAACCAATTTTTATGCCTGATGTTAATATTTTATGTCACCATTGACAGTCATTCCAGCATAATTCGAATTCTTCTCATTTACTCTTTCACTGATGATGATACAATTACGTATTGAACAATGCTGTGCGCTTTTCATGTGTGTCATATCACAGGTAGGATGTAGGTGTATAGTCATTCGAGGACTCGCTTTGTAGTCTGAATAGCGTGTACACAGTTTTATTGTAAACATGCATCTCTCACAGCAATATCTGTAAGCTTTGCCGACTTCAGTTCGGCAAAGGTTGTAAATGGAGGCATGTTTATAAAAAAATGAATATCAACAGCTTTTACATAAATACCAACACATGATATCACCAAGGTTATTTCTCAGAGAAGTTAATTTCAGCTATATCAATATAAATAGATTACAATATCTCTTTGCTATTTTAGTGAAATATGCATATTTTGGGCTTTAAGCATATTTTCTCATTACGTGAAAGGGATATTGAACTGAATTTTGATTTGTAGTTATATCATTGACCAAGTTGACATAATTAATTTAATTTGGACCTCAGGCTTTGTAAAGCAATAACTAGCACACCTTATATTTAGATAATTTGTATTAGGGTACACCAAAGACAACACTAAGAAACAAAATCAATTCAGATAACAGATATCTATATCAATTACATAGAAGTTACTGTGACCAATTTTATCATAGTCTGATTTTTATATTGATAGTGGCATCCCGTTTGAAGGAAGGATTCGTTTACTAGACGTGGGGAGTTGTTACAACCCTTTTGCTGCCTTTGAGGAATTTCTGTCCATCGGCCTTGACATCAGCCCAGCTAACTCGGTCAGTATCAGTAAAAATACCTTAGATTGAAAAGATATTCATCTCTATTTTTTATTGCGAAAATAGTTCTGCACTTCAAATTTAATATGTGATTAGAAATTTTAATTGTGAAAATCAGCTGTTGTTATATACATTGTCAAAGTTGTTTATAAATGCATGGTATAACAATATGTACATTAATAATCTTTAAAAGCTGCTACATCAATAACTTTTTTCTTTAAAATCTTTTATGGTTAAGTCTGTGGTATGGAAGGATAGTTTAGTGTTGTGCCTCCCTGAGTGTGGGTTGGGGAGGAGGGCACATCCCTCCAGATAGAACACCCTGGCCTCCAATAGATCCGCATTTCATGATTGATGTCTGTCTTATTACATTAAAAATTGTTCACTGTTCTTTGGTAGGTAAAATGGCTCTTAAGGGAAGACACCTGTCAAAATAGTCAACAAATGATGTCATTACCGACTTTTGATGCTGTGGAGTATCTTAGTTGTCCAACAGCGCTTTAACCCCTTAACTACCAGCTTGGCATTTTTAAAATTTCTTAAATTTAATTTCTGATAAAAAATTCCTGGGAGTTAAGATGTTTAATGTATGGTAAACAATTCTTTTACAGAGAAAAAATCTTTCAACACACAACACTGCTGAATGAGTTCAGTTTCTTCTTTCATGTTTCCTTGATGCTATCAAAAGCTGTATCATGTCTAAGTGTTATGTATCCAAAGCTTTTCTAAAACTCAAAATTGTGATCAAATTACATGTATGTCTGTTGTTTGTCTGTCAACTCTTTCATACAAATTGCTACTGGTCATAAACGACTGACAGGATTTTGATCAAATTTGGTCAGAAGCATCCTTAGGGAAAGCTGAACATTTTTTTTTCTTAAAGGGAGTGCCTCGGTCCCCAGGGGCCTACATTATGTCGGTTCTAGTGTTGATAATTGATAAATTCAGATGGCAAAACTCTGGAGACTTGTTTGAAGATTATTTCTTACCATTCAATGTTTGTTCATCGCTTTCTTTTACACACTCCTTCTTGTACAGCATCTCGGATTGTGATCTCTTTTCCTTCTTTCATGTTATTTTATGAACCTTAGTTCTTGTTGTTTTACAATGCTGAGATGTCATTGGCAAACTAATGTTGGCATAAATTTGCCTTTCGCTGTTTATTTCTTTAAGTTTTTTGGTGATTGGATAGTTTCCATTACCAAAGGTATTTTGTGCTGTTTGGGCTGCTGTTAATCTTCTGTCATGCAAGCCCTGTTTTTGTCACAGCTGGCAGATTTTTAAAATTTATTTGGGGATATGATAAGGTGTCCAAATATTTCTCTTACTTTTTACATGGCTATGTATTTTCAATACACAATATTTTACAATTAAATACGTTACATTTCTTTATCCTTTCAGTTTATTAGCAGCTATTCCTGGAGTCTTGGTGTTATGATTAGTAGGGATGAAAATCTGGTTTCATTTGCATTTCATTTGTACTTCTGCAACTACTGATGATATAGAAGTTCTGTGTACTTTCCCAATGCTGCAAATCTATGTAATTTGTAAATCTGAGAAAATTTAAAACCTCATTAATTTTGATGCTCACTTCATTGGACATTGTTGATAGAATGAAGAATAGGTTTCTTAACAACTTAAAACTTATTACCTTTTTCTTATGTACATCAGAAAAATAATCAAACATGGGTGTTTTTTATGAATAGGACAGTGTGGTGACCAGCCAAACTCTTACACCCAGGTTGAGATATTGCTGTCCACACAATCGACACATATAAGATTCTATTATTCTTTCATGCTGGACAGGTTAATCCATGCTTTTACCTGTCTGAGTTTTCCTTGTCTCACCTTAGGGTTGAGATGGGAGGATTCCTCTTGTCCAAACAAAGGTTTGATAAAACAGTAATAATTCATCAATGATGAGAAGGACTGGGACAATAAAAACACATACCTAAAAAGGCAGAGTAAGAGAAAAATATACCTAAAAAGTCAGAGTAAGAGAAAAATATACCTAAAAAGTCAGAGTAAGAGAAAAATATACCTAAAAAGTCAGAGTAAGAGAAAAATATACCTAAAAAGAGTAAGAGAAAAATATACCTAAAAAGTCAGAGTAAGAGAAAAATATACCTAAAAAGTCAGAGTAAGAAAAAAATATACCTAAAAAGTCAGAGTAAGAGAAAAATATACCTAAAAAGTCAGAGTAAGAGAAAAATATACCTAAAAAGTATACCTAGAAGTCAAGAGTAAGAGAAAAATATACCTAAAAAGTCAGAGTAAGAGAGTATAGAGAAAGAGAAAAATATACCTAAAAAGTCAGAGAAAAATATAGAGAAAAATATATACCTAAAAAGTAAAAAGTATACAAAAAGTTAGTAGAGAAAAATATACCTAGAAAGGTAGAGTAAGAGAAAAATATACCTAGAAAGGTAGAGTTAGAGAAAAATATATCTAAAAAGGCAGAGTAAGAGAGAAATATACCTAAAAAGTCAGAGTAAGAGAAAAATATCCCTAAAAAGGCAGAGTAAGAGAAAAATATACCTAAAAAGGCAGAGTAAGAGAAAAATATACAGAGTAAGAGAAAAATATACCTAAAAAGTCAGAGTAAGAGAAAAATATACCTAAAAAGTCAGAGTAAGAGAAAAATATACCTAAAAAGTCAAAAAGAGTAAGAGAAAAATATACCTAAAAGGTAGAGAAAAATATAGAGAAAAATATATACCTAAAAAGTCAGAGTAAGAGAAAAATATACCTAAAAAGTCAGAGTAAGAGAAAGTTAGAGAAAAATATACCTAAAAAGTCAGAGTAAGAGAAAAATATAGAGAAAATATACCTAAAAAGTCAGAGTAAGAGAAAAATATACCTAAAAAGTCAGAGTAAGAGAAAAATATACCTAAAAAGGTCAGAAAAAAAAATATACCTAAAAAGTCAGAAAGGTCAGAGTAAGAGAAAAATATACCTAAAAAGGAGTAAGAGAAAAATATACCTAAAAAGTCAGAGTAAGAGAAAAATATACCTAAAAAGTCAGAGTAAGAGAAAAATATACCTAAAAAGTCAGAGAAAGTAAGAGAAAAATATACCTAAAAAGTCAGAGTAAGAGAAAAATATACCTAAAAAGGTAGAGTAAGAGAAAAATATACCTAAAAAGGTAGAGTAAGAGAAAAATATACCTAAAAAGTCAGAGTAAGAGAAAAATATACCTAAAAAGAAAAATATACCTAAAAAGTCAGAGTAAGAGAAAAATATACCTAAAAAGTCAGAGTAAGAGAAAAATATACCTAAAAAGGCAGAGTAAGAGAAAAATATACCTAAAAAGTCAGAGTAAGAGAAAAATATACCTAAAAAGTCAGAGTAAGAGAAAAATATACCTAAAAAGTCAGAGTAAGAGAAAAATATACCTAGAAAGGTAGAGTTAGAGAAAAATATACCTAGAAAGGTAGAGTAAGAGAAAAATATACCTAAAAAGTCAAGAGTTAGAGAAAAATATACCTAAAAAGTCAGAAAAATAAGAGAAAAATATACCTAAAAAGTCATATACCTAAAAAGAGAGAAAAATATACCTAAAAAGGTAGAGTAAGAGAAAAATATACCTAAAAAGGAGAGTAAGAGAAAAATATACCTAAGAAAGTCAGAGTAAGAGAAAAATATACCTAAAAAGTATACAGAGTATACCTAAAAAGTCAGAAAAAAAAATATACCTAAAAAGTAGAGTAAAAAAAATATACCTAAAAAGTCAGAGTAAGAGAAAAATATACCTAAAAAGTCAGAGTAAGAGAAAAATATACCTAAAAAGGCAGAGTAAGAGAAAAATATACCTAAAAAGTCAGAGTAAGAGAAAAATATACCTAAAAAGTCAGAGTAAGAGAAAAATATACCTAAAAAGGCAGAGTAAGAGAAAAATATACCTAGAAAGGCAGAGTAAGAGAAAAATATATCTAAAAAGGCAGAGTAAGAGAAAAATATACCTAAAAAGTCAGAGTAAGAGAAAAATATACCTAAAAAGGCAGAGTAAGAGAAAAATATACCTAAAAAGTCAGAGTAAGAGAAAAATATACCTAGAAAGGTAGAGTTAGAGAAAAATATACCTAGAAAGGTAGAGTTAGAGAAAAATATACCTAGAAAGGTAGAGTAAGAGAAAAATATACCTAGAAAGGTAGAGTATACCTAAAGAAAAATATACCTAAAAAGGCAGAGTAAGAGAAAAATATAAAAAGTCAGAGTAAGAGAAAAATATACCTATAAAAAAGGCAGAGTAAGAGTAAGAGAAAAATATACCTAAAAAGGCAGAGTAAGAGAAAAATATACCTAAAAAGGCAGAGTAAGAGAAAAATATACAGAGTAAGAGAAAAATATACCTAAAAAGTCAGAGTAAGAGAAAAATATACCTAAAAAGGTAGAGAAAAATATAGAGAAAAATATACCTAAAAAGGCAGAGTAAGAGACAAATATACCTAAAAAGTCAGAGTAAGAGACAAATATACCTAAATGGGCAGAGTAAGAGAAAAATATACCTAGAAAGTCAGAGTAAGAGAAAAATATACCTAAAAAGTCAGAGTAAGAGAAAAATATACCTAAAAAGTCAGAGTAAGAGAAAAATATACCTAGAAAGGTAGAGTTAGAGAAAAATATATCTAAAAAGTCAGAGTAAGAGACAAATATACCTAAAAAGTCAGAGTAAGAGAAAAATATACAGAGAATAAGAGAAAAATATACCTAAAAAGTCAGAGTAAGAGAAAAATATACCTAAAAAGGCAGAGAAAAATATACCTAAAAAGTAAGAGAAAAATATACCTAAAAAGTCAGAGTAAGAGAAAAATATACCTAAAAAGAGAGTAAGAGAAAAATATACCTAAAAAGTCAGAGTAAGAGAAAAATATACCTAAAAAGTCAGAGTAAGAGAAAAATATACCTAAAAAGTCAGAGTAAGAGAAAAATATACCTAAAAAGTCAGAGTAAGAGAAAAATATACCTAAAAAGGCAGAGTAAGAGAAAAATATACCTAA